TACCTAATCAACCGATCGCTTTCAGTTCCGTTGGGTTTCAAAGTACCTCAAGAAGAATGGAAGGGTAAAGCTGTTGATTATAAGCACCTAAAGGTTTTCGGGTGCAGTGCTTATGATTTGAATCAAGATGGTGATAAGCTAGATGCAAAGGCCAAGAAGTACACCTTTATTGGCTATGGATCAGACAACATGGGCTACCAACTTTGGGATTTTGAAAGCAAAAAGGTAGTCAGAAGTAAACATGCGACGTTCAATGAGGCTGAATTGTACAAAGACAGAAAGGAATCAAACTCTAAGGTTCAAAAATAGAGGTTGAGTTTGACACGGGAGCAGAAAAGCAGGGAGCTAAATTGGTTCCTGAACCGGTTTCCGAACAAGAAACTGAAACAATTGTCGACACAGTTCCAGAGTTTGAAGTCGGTGGAAATGATGAGTCAAAGGTAGCCTCTGACAGTGGGAGTTCGGAGTCTGAAGATGAACAACCCCATCTGACCAGACTGATCATAGTTACAAAAAAGCCAGATAGATATACTCCTTCAGTTAATTATATTCTCTTGACAGAAAATGATGAGCCAGAAAGTTGATTGCAGGATCAGATATGAAAGAAATAAAAAAATTGAAAAAAGAAATGTCTCAAGAATTTGAGATGAAAGACTTGGGTCCAGCCAAACAGATACTGGGGATGAGCATCATCAGAAACAAGGATGGTTCTTTAACACTGTCCCAGGAAAAATACATTGGGAAGGTGTTAGAGAGATTCAAGATGAATGACGGGAAGACCAAGCCTAGAAGTACCCCATTGGGAAGTCATTTGAAGCTGACCAAAGAACAATCACCTAAATCCGAAGAAGAAAGATCAGAAATGGCTAAAGTTCCTTATGCATCAGCGGTTGGGAGCCTCATGTATGCCATGGTTTGCACTCGACCAGATATTGCTCATGCCGCTGGCGTTGTTAGTCGATTTATGTCAAATCCGGGTAGAGAACATTGGGAAGCTGTCAAATGGATACTTAGATATTTGAAGGGAACCCAGAAAATGGGTTTATGTTTCAGAGAGAAGGATGCTATTCTCAAAGGTTTTACAGATGCTGATTTTGGTGGTTGTAGAGAGACATTTAAGAGCACTACAGGGTATGTCTTTACA